TCCTAGCTGCTGTAAAGAGCTCTCAACAAGCCACCGAAAGGCCGGGACCGCATTCTTCAGCAATTGCGAGGGCAAAGAGGAGGAGGCAGGGTCAGGTCAGAGGAAGAGAAAATGGTCTATAACGGGGCGCAACCACAACCAAGCCCCTTCTACGCCAAGCAACAGCTGCAGAACCCTGGCACCCCCAGCCAAGGAGAACCACTCATATCACTGGGGCCTGCACTTCCGATAGCTCAACGCTCTGACTTGGAACTCCCTCCTTCCCAGTTCGGGATGGACCGGAACAGCTCTTCCCACCCAGGCTGGATTCTAGTGAACGCATCTCACCATGCAGCTTTCCCTTGGTGCTCAGTGAATGTTGTGTTTCCAGGGGCAAGCCAGGGAAAGGACTAAAGGGATACAGCTCACTGACTTGACACCCTGAGGTATGAGGCTAGCCCAGAGCTGCGTGGGTACATCTATGGCAGATGAAGTAGAGACAGTTTGCCAGAGCCCACTCCAGGTACTGTGTGTGGATGATATTATCAGCCCACGGCAAGCGCTACCACTGTGCAGATGGAGAGGCAGAATCCAACTCTGACGGATCAAAGTCAACACAGCGACAAGCAGGCAGGGGTGAGGCTCTAAGCAGTCCACAGATTCCCTTTACTCACTAGTGAGACACAGTTCGAGCAATCAGCAAAAGTATTGCCTCCAGGGGTTCTTGTCTGTTTGTTGCTTTTAATAGCAAGGGGTCTCACCAAGTACCCCTGGCTGGCCTGGGACACTCTGTGTAGACTAGGCTGGCCTTGATGGGGGATGTCCTTCTGTATGCTGTGAATATATGTTTCTCTTATTGGTTGAAGAATAAAGTACTTCAGCCAATGGACAGGCAGGAAGTACATGTGGGGCTACCAGACTACGAGGAGGCTGGGAAGAGAAACACAGAGAGTTGAAGGGGAGATGCCATGCAGCTGCCGAAGGAGTAACATGCCGGAGCATGACGGGTAAGCCACAGCCTTGTGGAAATACATAATTCAGTAGAAATGGGTTAATAATTAGGAGAGAGCTAGCCGATGAGAAGCCTGAGCCATCAGTCAAACAGTTTATAATTAATATATTAATATGAGCCTCTGTGTGTTTATTTGGGACTGAACGGCTGCAGAACCAGGTGGCACAGAAACCTCCATCAACAAGCGGCACCCATGTGTTTGGCAAGAATTCCCACGGAAACCCTGACGAAAGCTCAGAAACAGAGCCACGCTGGGCCTCACAGAAATGCTGTGGTTAGATCAAGCAAGGCTCCTTGTAGTAGTGGCCCATGTGATCCAACATTCAAAACAGCTGAGACCATGCAGCCTCACAAACTATTCGACAGTCAAGATTTGAGCAGGGTTCTGGGTTTTCTCAGGATCCCCTCGGGATTGGCAGCGCCCCCAAACAGCAGGAAGTAGTTTGCAGAGAACTACAATCACATTCCCAAATATTGTTTATAAATGTTTGTTCTCATTTAAACAGGATTGACTATAAATGGTTGATGCCTTCAACATAATAGGAATAGACATTTGGACAAGAAACTGCTCGTGTCTGGACTGCTTGACAGCATGCTGTCCAAACTGGACAATCAAGTTACAAAAGAAGATGACTGCTGAACTTGCCAAGGGACAGGATGGTCCTTTAAAGTTCCTGCTTCATCAAAAAGTCTGCCAGACCCTATGATCTGTGGACTGAAGATGGATGCTCCAGTGTTACAGAGTAACTTTGGGTGACTGTCCAGGCAGCAAGATGGCTCTGTCAATTCTAGAGGTTATATATTATCCTTCTGGGGTCTTTGATGGTGTTGAAGACAGATAGTTATGATTATGGTTTTCCATGGTTTTGATAAAAGATAAGTTACATCTTTAGACTTTAGACTTACAAAGATAGGATAGACGATAGAGTATTTTCTTTAAATCTTGCCAAATTTTAATGGACTAAATCTTGTTAACTATAGTTCTTGATAACTGTTTTGTTATATGTAATTTTACTGTTAAATTTTAAAGTTAAAACCTTCCTTTATATTTAGACAGAAAAGAAAAGGCCTCAAGCCCCACAGAGATCTGACTGCTTCCACCTCCAAGTGCTGGGATCAGTAACGTTCCACCACACCCTGTTCCAGATAAAATTTTTAAATAGCTTACTATTATTTAAAAAATCTAACATCTAACCTTCCAACAGTTAGACATTTCTAAGACACCACACATCAGCAATCCTAAAGAAATATTTTGTTGGTTTGGGTTTCTAAACTATTACAGCTCTTGCTCAGTTTGAATAGCGAGCACAGGGTTTCTATAACTCCCTTTCCAGAAGCATGGCTTTGGGGTTCAGGGGTAGCTAACTTGACAAGCACTCAGGAAGACACCCTCAAACTAGAGCAGCTAGTATTACAGGCTGTTGGCGTGAAGTCAAGTCTCTTGCAGACAAAGAACACCCTTTTGGACGAATCCGTGGCTCTCCAATGACCCTTGCCTTTATTAAAAACAAGTACCTTGTAAAAAATTATATAACTTTTCTTCAAATTCAAATATTTCAGAAATATTCTCCAATCAAAGGACCATCAAATTCCCAATCCAGGCAGCAACATGGCCAACTCTTTCTCAGATTCTGCTTTTCCTTCACCCGCCACTGCCCTCCCTATCTCTGTAATACCCTGGGCTTCTTTGAGCCTTCTATAATCTGATTGCACAGTCTATGGCTTTTGTTTCCAACGGTTTGATACCCAGACCAATCGGCACTGAGAAGTGGGGCTCTTGCTGTGACAGACCTGGCTTTGTGGTTCTTGGGCCATTGGACCTGATTTGTGGGAGAAATGTGGAAATGTTTGCAACTTTAAGCTAGAAAAGCCCTGTGGTTTTATAAGCAGAGCCTAGTGGGCTGTTCTGGGAGTTTAGAAGACCCTAATGCAAACAGAGACAGGGTATAGGTCCAGTTCATAGACCTCATATGCAAACAGGACTCTGTTGGAAATGGGTTGGCAGCCATCTGTGTGCCTTCGTGGCAAAGAATCCAGCGGCACTATACCACATCCACAGAACTTAAGTGGGGATAAGTGGTTAATGTGTCTGATGGATGAAATTTCATATAGGAGTAAAAATAAAATGTACATAGAAATGAGCGAGAGTGATTTGGGGAGATTAAAGTAGGGTGGGTAGATTGCAACCATGCTAACATCTATCTGCGTGTTGTATTTTACTATGTTTTGCAATTGGGAGAACTATATAAGTGACACACATACACGGTTGTGTGGGGGGAAACTTAGGATTCCGCCATTGGCCACGTGGCGGTCTAAAGACGCATATGGATGTGGTAATGACAGGGCGGAACCGTGCTGTTAACCACACCCACTTTGGGCATGAGGAGAGACAGGAAGGTGAACTAAGTCACTAGCCAGGCCCACTTTTGGGCGTGGCTAGGGGTGTGTATGGAGGAAGGAATAAAAGACTGAATAGCAGAGCTTGGAGTTGAAGACAGATAGTTCTAATCATAGTTTTCCTTAGTTATGATAAAATATAAGCTACATATAAGACTTTAGACTCACAAAGATAGGATAGATGATATATTCTTTAAATCTTACTAAATGTTAATGGACAAAATATTGTAACTATGTTCTTACTTGGTAACTGTTCTGTTATATATAATTTGACTATGTTAAAGTTAAAACCTTTCTTTTTATTTAGACAGAAAAGAGGAGATGATGGGGTAAGTCCTGTGTATGTTTCAATAAAGCACTGTTGGCCAATATGGAAGCAAGATAGGTGGGACTAGGCGTTGAGGAGGATTCTGGGAGAGACAATGTAGCCTGCCAGAGAAGTAAGAGGTCCGGGCCCTTTTCTCCGGTAAGAGAAATACTTAGATTAACAGTTATGGGTTAGCCAGTAAGAAACAAGCAAACGGCCAACAGCTTCATAATTAATATAGCCTCCTGTGTGTTATTTGGGGACCGCAACTGTGGCAGAGCCCAAGCGGCTGGCGGGGAAAAACCAAAGCGGCTGGCGGAGGAAAACTACGTGTTACATGGTTAATCTTGACTGCCAACTTGGCAGGATTTAGAAGATGAACCGAGGTATTTCTGCAGAGGTTCAAGTGAGATGAGGAGCCTCCTGCTGAATGTGGGCACCGTTCCAAGGGCGGGGTCTCAGGCCGCAGCGAAAGGAGAAAGCTAGCAAAGGGTTGGCTTTCATCTCGCTGTGCCCTGACTGGTACAACGTGGCCAGCTGCCCCGCATGCTGCCACCGAGAACCCTGCAAAGACGAACTGAACCCTTAACCCATGAGCCAAAATAAACCCTCCCTTAAGTCGACTTTTGTCAAGTATTTTGTCACGGCAAGGCAAAAAGTAACTAATACAAAACATATTTAAATAAACAAGTATTCTTTTGTACCCACTTACACAGTAGATTTAAATATACAATTGTCATGAGACCCAAGATTTTCATTCTTAGGTATTTATCCCAGAGAAATGAAATGTATGCTCTTGGGGAAAAAAAAAACGTGTACGTGAGTATTCATAGCATCTTTATTCATAAAAGCCCCAAAGCAGAGTCCAGATACTCTTCACTGGGCACACAGTGTAAACTGGACTGTATACACTCTGTAGAAATACAGTCATCAAGTAAAAGAATGTAAACTGGACTGTATACACTCTGTGGAAATACAGTCAGCAAGTAAAAGAATGTAAACTGGACTGTATACACTCTGTGGAAATACAGTCAGCAAGTAAAAGAATGAACTGGGATGGATGTACCCAACAACACGGGTAAGTAAACCTTCAGGAACTTGGGCAGAATAAAGAGGTTACCCCATGGGTTGAGAAGATGGCTCAGTCAGTAAAGCATTTGCCTTCCAAGCATGACGACCTGAGTTCAATCCCCAGGTCCCACGTAAAGAAACTACGGGTTGACAGTGAATGATTGATAGAATCTGATCCCCTTGCAGGTGGCTGGGTTCTAGAACCCTCCCTTCTGTGACATCTGCATCTTACCTCAAAGACAGACAGGTGGGTGGAACCCTAATCCTGACAGTCTCTCCTCCAGAGAGTCAGAGCCCAGGACAACATAGGACAAGCCCTTCCCACCACAAAGCCTGCTGAAAACTCCATGCCCCCAGCTTTGAAGCGGGTAAGCACACTGATCGATTCTGAAGGAAAACCTCCCAGTCAGTACAGGAGAAATCTATGGCCACTTCACCAAAGCCTGGAGAACAGAGATGAGGGCTGAACACCTGTAGGGGCACATTTCAGAGGGAACAGCCGAGGAGCCATAAAAAGCAAATATATCTGGGAATGGATAAAAAGGAAGGCTGGGGTTGGCTGAAACAAAACCATGATTGATACAGTGGCCCCTTCCCTGCAGCCCTGTCCCCCGGGACTGTTTCTTGGCACTCAGAACAGACCCCCTCAGTCCTCCGCCTTATCAGCCTCAAGTCCGCAGACTCTTGCAAACGCCTTGCTGTTGTGGGCTCTGGGGACTGAACTTGGAGCTGACAATACATTCCAGGGTTGGTCTGTGGTGAGGCGGCCTGGCTCACAAGATTTTCAGATTATCAAGCGGGGAAGGCAGGAATGCCACGGCCTGTGCATGGGGACATTCATCAAAAAGACAGCTGCCGTGAATCACCGAGATGGGGTGACACTAGTGTGTCTAGACCTGTGTGTAGCCAGGCGCTTGCAAACCCAAACTATCATGGCAGAGAAATAATTTCCCAAGACAGGGCCAAGGAGGGCTAGAATCAAACATCCAAAAGACAGACTCCCAAGCAGAAGGGCACCGTACCTTAGAGCTCCCGCTCACACAGTTCCCACTGGGTAACTGGTAAGACCTGTCTACCATTCGAGGTCCAGGCTGATGCAAGGGACCAGCTGGAGGGATGTTCAGAGTCTGGCTTTGTTTTTTAAGGAAAGACCTTGTATGACTTCTCAGTTGCACCTTGGCGGGGCAGTTGAGGAAAATGAAGCCCACCTAGGAACTCTGCTGGGGAAAGCTCACAAGGAACACAGTTCTCTAGCTTGTGCCCTGAGGGAGAACCTTTTGGGGTGCAGTTGGAAATAGGGAAGAGGAACATGGAGTCTCATTTTACCATGTCACAGCCCCAAATGACTCAAGCCTCTGCATTGGGTTTCATCGAGAAAGGGCATTTTCTGGGCAGGTGCGATGGCGCTTGCCACCAAACCCAATAATGTAAGTTCAAGCCCCGGAACCCTCAAGGAAGAATGAGAAAACCAACTCCTGAAAGCTATCCTCTCCACCCATGCTGCACGCATGCACGTATGTATGCATGCATGCATACATTCACACACACACACACACACACACACACACACACACACACGGTCTGAAAAATATTCCCAGAGAAGTTAGAATTTTTGTTGCCTGCCCACGGCAGCTCCCCGCCCCCCAACTCCTTATTTCTTGCTTTGGTTCCTAGTGTCTGGGTGTCCTTGAACCCTGTGTCACTCACTGTCTGTGAACAGGAGACTCCTGGCATGAAAACCAAGGGTGGCCAGCCTCCGAGTCCCTGTAGACCTCATTGAGCTTGTAAGCCAAGCCTGGGGCATCTGCCGCTGCACTAGGTAAATGTCAAATGTCCCTCTAATCCACAGACTGTTGAGTTTTCTGTTGGCAGCTAAACACGCCTCAATCTTAATCCATACAGCTTCCCCATGGTGAGTAGCCCAAACAACCGTATTACAGTTGCTAGTATCACTCCCCCTAACTTGTGCAAGGCTAAAATTTGCATGAGACCTGTTCTCCTCAACCTGCCACCCACAGGGGGGCTTTGGGAGGGAAGTGTAGCTCCATAGACCCCGTCAAGCTCGGCACCTGCAAATCGGTGTCGGGACACAGATGCCCAGTAACAGGGGCGGGAGAAAGAAGGAACAAAACAGCTGTGGGGGGGTCACACGGGGAGGAGGACAGGAAGTGGGTGTTCTTTTCCAAGTGTGCCTTTTGTGAAGAGAGGCCCTCCTGCTTTCCCATGTCCCGCATTCCACACCGCTATGCGTGTGCTACGTCTCCGTCATCGCCGGGGCCTACCCATGGAGCCCTGCAGCCACATGGTGCGTGGTGAATGACCGATGGCTTCTGTCACTGCCTGTGCGTGACTTGGCTGGGCGAGACGTATTTAACATTAGCTTAGGTCCTGACATTCCATCATGTTCCCTGTCAAGAAGCCAAGCCACTCTTGGAGCCCTCCCCACCGAGTGACATGTGACAGGACCCCAGCGGGTGAAGTGTGTGTGTGTGTGTGTGTGTGTGTGTGTGTGTGTGTGTGTGTGTGTGTGTGTGTGTGTGTGTGTCTCTGCCGTCCTACCTGCAGGCCGGGGTCTGGCTGGCTGCTCTGACAACAGAGGTCTCACTAAGAAAAGGTCGCCAGTCTCGGCCAGCATCTACCGCGCTTTTGGAGGAGGCTGCGTTACAAGGCATGGTGGTGTTATTTGCAACCGAGTTGCTTTTAGCAATCAGAATCACTGCGTCAGAAGCTAAAAGTAGGACAGAGCTAAGCGCCCAAGGCTCTCAATGGAGCGTGGCAGAAGGCTGAGGGAATGGTCATCAAAATGACACCTTCCTTTCCCAGCTCCAAGCTGCCTTCAGGGAACCTTCCCCTGCCACCCCAAGGGACACTCTGTCGGGCTGAAAGGGGAGAATGCCAGTGACACCTTGCGTGACACTGTCTGGGATGCCTGTGGCCAGACAGGCGTGTGTTGGTGCCTTCCTCATAGGGTATCAACTCTCTGGTAAGGATACCGGGTCCCCGGGGGACATGCACGCTTCCCATCAGGCTCTCTGTGGGGGGGGGGCTACTAGGAAGAGGCTGGGAGTCCTCCTAACTGCTCTCCTGAAGGCCGCCCCTGAAGCCTCCTCTGGAGTTCTCTTCATTCCTGGCCCATTGCCTGTGGTGACTGGGGCCCGCTACATGCTCAGAGCTCTGTGGAGCATCAAGGGATGCATTCAGGAAATGCAAAGCAAGAGCTGCCCAGAATAGACCTTTGGACTGGAGAAAGGGCTCAGGGACCAAGAGCACCGGCTGCTCTTTCAGAGAACTCAGGTTTGGTCCCCAGCCCTCTTCCCAACAGCCTGTCCTCCAGGTCCAGGGCATACCAGGCATAGGCATGCATGCAAAAATATCTTATACACCTTTCTTGAAACACAAAATCCCACTAAAAATGGGATTTTTGTTCTTCCGTGTGAGTGAGTGCCTGGGTTAGGATGAGCTGGTTGGTGGCGTGGACTTCTTATGACGACGTCAGAGGGGGCATCAGCAGGAGAGGAAGGGGCGGGAGGAAGCTTCCTCGGAGAGGTGAGATAGGAGCTAAGGCTTGAGGGTTGTGAGAACCCAGGGGCGTCAGCGCCCAGGCCACAGGCAGCATGGTGGCTCCCTAGCAGTCATAAGAAGCGACTCACAGAGTAGGACTGTACCACACTCTGGCTGCTTGTGTGGCAGCCTCACAAAAAATACATCAGCTCTCCTGTATGTGGGCACCTCCATGCCACACCTCACCTCCAAGCCACACCCCCATGCCACACCCCATGCCACACCCCCATGCCACATCTCCCGTGTGCCTGCATCGCTGTCAGTACTGAACGAATGCCTGGAACCCCAAATCAATAATAGAAACCGTTTCCAAACACAGGGATTACAAGCTCAAGGGTCCATGTGGACCACGCCAGGTGACAGAGGCGTAGCTGGGGACAAGAAAACCATGGCAAACAGGGCAGGAGAGCGATAAGAGGGGGCACCTTCCTTTAAGGGGCAGGTCGTGTCTGACCACAGCCCAATGCTACTGCCGAGGGGTATTTGCCTAGTACCATCAAGTGGGTTTATTGGGGGGGGGGGGGGATGTCTCAGGTCCGGCTGGCATCAAACTCAATACATAGTCAAGGGTGACCTTGAACCCCTGTTCCTCCTGCCTCTACCTCCCAAAGCCTGTGATTACAGACACGTACAACCACAAATGGTTTCTGCAACGCTGGGAATCAAATCTAGGGTCTAGCACATGCTAGGCACACATTCTGTCAACTAAGCTGCAGCCCATCCCCCTAGCAGACAATCTGAACACTATGTGAAATCCCCTCGTTTTTTAAATGTGGGAACCATGCTTTTTTAAAAAAACACACTGTGCCGGCCGAGGAAACCACATAATCTAAAGCCATAGCCAACCTGCCTGGCAAGCGTTGATTCTAAGGATACAATTTGGGTTCAAAACATAGCCTGAAAAGACCCCAACCAAATTACTTTATGGTTGTGGAGGGAAGTGGGCCAGGGGATTGCAGACATAGCAGAGCCTTCCCCGGGGCCAGGGAAGTCTTGCATTTGAGACGTGCACGGCTTGCAGGGGTCGCGAGCTGCTGCTCCCTAGGCCTCGGTTCCCTTCTGCCTTCCTGTTGTCTTCCTGCAGCCACCATGACTGCAAAACACACGAGGGACGCAGACAGACCTGCAGCCAGCAGCTGTGGTCTCTCCTTTGGTTGCCAGGAAATGAACTGCAACTTCTGAGAGCCCTTCACCGGATGTGCCGTTGAAGCAGAAAGCGACACTCACTTTCTGCCACTCACGTGGTCTCAGGCTCAAACGCATGACTCTGAGAACGGAGATTTTTGTAATGCATGCCCATCAGTGAACTCGTCCGCTTCTCCAGAGTCTCGGGTTAAAGGAGCCATCGACGGGTTCCGCCTTCAATAGACCATCCCTTCATTCAGCCACAAGAGGTCTCCATCATGGGTTCCATCCTCCACACTGGGTAGGGGGCCAACTAACTTTCTCAGAGACCATGTCAATCAAAGGGTCTCTAGCATCGCCAGAGGGTGGAGGCAGCCCTCCCCAGCAAACAAGCTAGCACGCTGCTCTGAAACAGCAGCCTTCGCCGTCCCTGGCAGGAGGCACATTCTGACATATTCAGTTTCAAGTGAATGCCTGGGCATTAAATCTAAACGGTCCATGATATGCAATGCCCAGGCAGTGTGCACTTGGATTATTTATGCCCTCTGCACCTGTGGGAGCCGAGATTTGATTATTATTTCATGTTAAGTGTCCAACCTTGGGCTTGCAGTCTGCAAAACTATTAAAGCACTCAGCTAGACTGCAGGAGACTGTGGGCCACCACGCAGCAGGGGTCGGAGAG